CACACATCCAACCTCCCCCCCACTCTCACCTCCCTTCTCCAACCCCCCCAACCCCATCCGGGCTCTCCCCCCACCACCCCCCTCAGCGAGTCGACCAGCCCCGCCTGGGCGGGCGCGCACGCTCCAGGCGAGTTTGATGCTGACGTTGTCATGTCTAAGGGGGCTCGTAGTAGAGAGCCCAGGGCAGCAGGCTGGTGATGCCGATGCCGCCGGCGATGAGGAGGATGCGGTCGGTGAGGGGGAAGGTTGGGGTGTGGGGCGTGGAGTGGTAGGGCCCGTCGAGGAGGGTGGGGTGGAGGTGGGTGGTTAGGCTGCCGGTGGTGTTGGGGGGGGAGGTGCGGATTAGGAGGGTTATGCTTGGTTCTGGGTTGGGGGTGGTGGTTTTGGGGGCGGTGGTAGTGGTGGCGGCGGCGGGTTTTTGGGCTTCTAGATCGTGGTTGTTGTGGTTGTTGTTGTTGTCGTCGTTGGTGCTGGGGGCGTTGTGGAGGGAGTCGGGTTGAGAGGTTGTCAGGTGCAAGGGTGGGTTGAGCATGGCGGTGGGGATGACGGAAAAGGGGTGGTTCTCCCACGGCCGGAGAGGGAGCACCGTGGGGAAATACACATAAACGTGCGTGCCTGGCTGCGCGCTCATGCGCACCCCCGGGATGTCGACGCGCAGAATGCCGTCGCAGAGCTGGGTGACACGGGCGCGGCGGATGCCGAACTGCAGGACGCGGAAGACGCGGGCGAGCCGGTCAAAGAACCACAGCGCGCAGGTGAAGTAGAGCCAGACTTCGAAACCTCCGGCGTGGTGCTCGGGCCAGTTCAGCCCCATCGAGTTGTACCAGCCGATCAGGTGGTACCAGCATCCGACGAGGGTAAAGACGGTCAGCAGGATGTGCGAGATCAGGAACAGCTCGTAGTGGGCTTTGCGCACGTACAGGCCGCTCCCGACGGCGAGAATGACGGACGCTACGGTTGCGACGGCGCCCCAGATCCACCACACGGTATGTTGCTCGTCGGCGTAGACCATCAGGCCGAGAATGGAGTGGAGGATGGCATAGAGGGCGAACAGACGGCCAACCCAGCGGTGTAGTAGGAGGTAGGTGGAGTGAGACCAGTTGGTCAGCCAGAGAAGGACGTTGTTTCTCGACGAGAACAGAATGACGACGGGAAAGAGGGCAAAGGCGAAGGCGCCGCAGCGGTAGAGGATGTAGGCCATCACCTCCCGCCGCTGGGTGTCGAACCAAGCACTAGGCTGTCGAGGCTCGTACTCGATTGCGGAGAGGATGACGTTGACGATGAGGAAGACAGCGATGTAGATGCCTTGACCGACTGTCGGGGCGTTGCCCAGTAAGTAGGGCAGAGGCTGGACCTGATAAGTGCCAATAGTGCTCGGCCAGACGAGGTACGGCCTGACCTTGTCCAGGATGGTAGGCACAAAGGGGAAGTAACTGAGGCATGTAAGTGCGATCGGGAAGCCGACCGCGAGGACGATAATGGCAATACTATCTCTCCGGTTTAGTAAAAGATCTTAGTACTAGTATGTCCCGATGGCCGTACCTGTATGCCGACTCCAAGGCTGACTCTCGGTAGACGGCAGAAAGAACATTCCATTGGGTAAGATAAGTCATGGGGTTGACGATGGAGGTGGTGTTGAGACTCGTGTCATTGCTAGTGAGCTGATACATGGGCGGCGAGGTGTCGGCGTGGGCAAGAGCCTGCTCGTAGGTCCACTTGGGGGGGATATCGGGGTGGCCGGTGATCTGCTCCTCCCAAAACAACTGCAGCTTCGAGAACGTGATGTCCGGCTGGGAACATTTGGTGCTCATGCAGTAAGCCACCGAGGTCAGGTAGGGCGTGTCCTTCCCGTAGCACTCTGGGGACGTCGGCATCATACCCACCATCGTGTCGCCGCCGCCGCTCATCTCCGTACACCCTAGAGTGTAGCTCTGGAAAGAGCGGAGGCATGCTGCTCCGCACAGGGGATCATATGGGTAGTAGCCGTAGCCGGTGAGGGCTTGTGTCTGGACATAGCTACCGTAGGTGGAGGCCACGAATGCATTCGCCCAAAAGATGACAAGTCCAACAACGCCCATAGTGTCTAGGATTTGAAGATGAAGGACGGAATACGGGCCGACATGGAAAACCGGGACATGGGGAAGAAGAGGGACTGGCAAGATTCAAGTAACCTTCAAGGGCGGAAGCTTGTCGACTCCAGGCCCGGAGCAATGGAGCGGCATGCAGCGGAGAAACCTGGTAGTACTTTGACCGCTGGCACTTGTGGCCAATGAAAACTCGCTCATACTAACAACCCATCACCATGTTTGGATCTTGGGGGCCCACGGATTGAACCAAGCAGTCCTCCTTGCTTTGTACAGTGGCGCCATTCCTTCTTGGGGCGCCAGGTGCTGGGTCCTGGGAAGTCTCTTTCGCAAGGGGGGCCGCCGCGTGTCCTCGCCGTACCCTACTTATAAATAGTAGTAATTGTATCCCCTTGCTGTCTAGGATATATTATTATTCATACTCCGCTATGCCCTAGGGCGTGCCGGACCCTCTGCTATTTAGTGTACAGGAAAACCGTGCCCTCCCGGGCCGGGTGAAAAACCCATACCAACAATCAAGGAGCGATGCGTTTTAGTGAGCCCACATATACAAAGAGAGGAGGCCTCCTGGGCCTCCGAACGGGGGCGCTTTCAGGCCGCCGGCTTCAAGCTCGAGCCTCCTGGGCTAAGTTTGTACATCGGGCAGCTTCCCCGAGTCCATCAGCCAGTCGAGAACTCTCCTCGCGAGCCGTGCAGTCGGGGGATTGAAGCCTCGGGGGAACAGAGTAAAAGTCCCGTCGTGTCCGAATTCCAGATCTCTCCCATCTTCTAGTCAACGGTGGGGCCAAACACCACACTACCAGGTGTTCGGCAGTCTCTCGTCCCTCGCCACACTCGCAGGCAGGAGTCAGAACCTCCGGGACTCCCCGTGTAAACAAGAAGTCCCGTAGGCCTATTGCTCCCGTCCGGATTTGAATCAGCAGTGAGCTCTTCGCCTTGTTGAGACCGTCGTGCCTTCTTAGGGTTTCGTTCCGAAATAGCGTCTCCCGCTGATGGTCAAAGTCGTCCGCCGGCCTGGCGATTGCCCTGCCGTCCCGTTCCTTTAACCACCTGGCTTTACAAGCCTCTTCTACTACCCTGTTCGTATCAACGGTTCCCCTCGTCCAGCGCATGACAGTGCCCGCGGCTCTCTCCACCGCCGTAGGCCCTTGAGGTCCCAAGGTTCGCGGTCGGCCCCTGTTGCCCCTCCTCGAGCTAAGTCTCTGCTGTATCTTGCGAGCAGGCGGTGAGGACTGTCTAGGATATACCATTTAACGGTATCCGTTTGATTTTTACATTGAGTTTTACAAGATCTTGGTGAAAATAATCTCCTAGTTAGAGATCTTGATATCGTCTTTTTCTTTCTCTTTTTCTTTCTCTTTTTCTTTCTCTTTTTCTTTCTCTTTTTCTTTCTCTTTTTCTTTCTCTTTTTCTTTCTCTTTTTCTTTCTCTTTTTCTTTCTCTTTTTCTTTCTCTTTTTCTTTCTCTTTTTCTTTCTCTTTTCTTAATTTCTTCCTCCCCTTTTGAGTTTGGTTTTTTTTGGCCAGAGGGTGGCGGGTTATTTACTCGTCTGATTCAATACCATTCCCCCCAACCATGAGCAACACAGCGGCTCTGCGCATATTATCATGCAGCCGTCCGTCAGCTCTTTGTTAGGGCCTTGGATCCGAGGTCATAAGTGGAGAAAGCAATTGTAACCGATCGAAGTCGGATGTTGGGTCTGGATGACAACGGGGGGCTCAGGGGCTGATGGATCACTATTCTGCTCAAACCTGCTCTCCAGCCACCACCGCCTCCATCAAGGTCCTCGCCCCCGGATCACGTCTTACACTGTTTGTGCCATGACTTTCCTTCACCTCTTTTCAATCAACAATGCCCAACTAAATTGTCTTATCTCCCCGCGTCTAAAATATCTACCCCTATTCCCCGGACCAACAACCAACCAAACCAACAAACTCACACCTCACGACGACAACCACCACCACCACCACCACCAGGGAACACACCAACACAACCCCCACCATGACCACCACTTTCACCACACCCATGCCCCCACCACCACCCACAACCAACCCCTCAACCCACATGACCCCGTCCCCCATGGCCATGACCTTCTCCCCCTCACACCACCACGCCCCTCTTCTGGGACTGGTGGACGCCTCGCAGCACAGCAGCGTATGCAGCAACATGTGTGTTTCTCATCTTCCTCGCGACTGTCACGCGCGTCCTCGTCGCTGTCAGGCCCGTCCTGGATGCTAGGGTGGGACTGGGTGGGCGTGGTTTGAGAGGAGGTGGATGGGGGCGGGGGCGGGGGCGGCATGGTCGCGGTCGGTCGAGGAATCATGATGGGGGGGGGTTGTTGGCGGGGGAGGGGAAGGAGAAGGTTTGTGGGGAGAGGGAGGACCTGGGACCGGAAATGGTGTTGTCTGGGTTGGAGGGTGATGAGAGGGATGGTGCTGCTGCTGGTGATGCGGAAGGGGTGAGGCGGTGGTGGGGTGGTGCGGCGCTGGGGTGGCGGTTGTGGAGGGCGGGCTGTGAGGTTGTGTTTGTGTGTTTGGGATACTTTTTGTAAGTCCCTCATGAAGATGGTATTTCCCAGTTTAAGGGGGGATTGTGCTGAATATTGACTGACAAGACTACAGGATGATAGCGGTAATGACCATGAACACGGGCTACTTCATCTCGGTGCTGAGCGGAGTTTTCCTCGGCATGTTCCTGCTCGGTGGCACGATTGAAAATAGCGCAGGGGGTCCGTGGCATCAATGTTGAGGGTCTATTTGGGGGTTTGTTGTGGATGACATTGGAGCTCGGGCTTAAGTTGTGCTTTGGTCTTTGGTCTGAAGGAGTAATTAGATATGAATTTCGAAGAAACTAGCAACATGTGGAAGGTATCTAGGTCCAGGACATATGTAATGCCGGCTAATACCAAGGAGCAAAGGACCTGTTTGATTTTGTAGAGTTAGGGCAGACGTATTGACTTTTATTCACAACACGCAAGTCCAGTGACAGTATCGTGTTGGAAGGACTCTATGTTTATTTATACAAAGAATAGATCGATAGTTAATGGTTCGGGCGGGATTTAGGTTTGCAATTGAGATATATTGGCAACATCATATCAGAGTAAGGTAGTAATTATTATTATCGGATTATAGAAGAAAACAAAATTAATATAAAAAAACGAGATGGGGGAAATGGGCGAAGAATAGAGGAGAGTAACAAATAGAGATCAGAAAAAAAAAAAAAAAAAAAAAAAAAAAAAAGAATGACTGTGGTGGCATCACTACCACTCTTTTCGAGCATTTGTTCGCCGCCCTTTGACAAGAGGGTACCCGATCAGCTTTTGTGATAGCTTGCCTACCTAGAGTTTTGATGAAGTAGCCCAGCGTCAAGGACTTCTCCGTTTCATATTGGATCTGTAGCTCTACCTCATTCTATTGTTCCGGACCCTTGGCGATCCAATATCGCCGTCTCATGAACCAGAATGGCATGGATGTAGGTTACATTCGGGCTCCCAACCCCACAAGACCGGAGCCGTATCTGCCGTTGTTTATTTAAAATAACTTGCTCAAACCCGCGCTCCGTCCCGGGTGAGCTGCCTCGGCGTGGTGGCTGGCCGGGGCCGTGAAGGCTCAAGTAAGATCGTCAGTCCGCGGTCGTCACTCATGTAGCTCTTGTTGGGGGCCAATCCTGAAGCCGGGACGAGTCTGTCACAAGTCCTACTCAAACTGCCCAATATGCGGCAACTTACTGCTTTGCTGGCCTTGGGCACTGTCGCCTCCTTATTCATTACTTCTACCCAAGCTCACGTCACGTCAGGGAGAGAGCGCTATGGAGTCATTGGCTATGGCATTGTCATGTACGACCCGCCGTGCGCCTACGCGTGCATCGACATGGCGAACAGCTGGAACCTCGACTGCGCCCACGAGCACACGGACGGCATGGACATGGGCGGGATGCACATGAGCTCGGTAACCCCCGAGTGCAAAGCCACGAGTGATCCGTTTCTCCAGACCTTGGCCTGGTGTTTCTACACCCACTGTCCCGGGGCGAGCAACTCCACACTGGAGAGGGTCTGGGAGATGGACATTGTTGGCCGCAAGGCTGTCCAGCCTGCGCCGGCATACTCGTACCAAGTCGCACTCTCCCGCGTAGCACAGGCGCCGCCGACCTCTATTCTAGCCTCCGACGCCACGCTGAACACAACCTCCCTGGTTGACGAGGAGGCCTGGCTGGGCAAGTTCAATGGTGACGAGGCGTTTGAGAGGATGGAGATCAGGGCCTCAACATTTGGGTTGGTTTCACAGGATTTACTACCGAGTACTCACGAAATTCTAACAATTGCGCTAGACTCGTCCTCTTTGTTAGCTGCGTCGGCATCCCCATTGTGTTTTCTTGGTTCCGCTTCCTACCCCTGAATCCGGTCGTGGTGTCTAAATTCTACGCCACCTTCATCGACCCTCCTTTATTTGGAAACCACCACTCAGCCCCGGTCCTAGGATTCGGTTTTGTGCCGACGAGAGGTCAGGGGCTCTTCATCGCCTACATCTGGATTATCAACATCATCGTCTCCTCGGTGGGCTACGAAGTACGGGACCCAATGTCCTGGTACCCGACCGTGGAGCGGCAGCTCGTCGTATACATCAGCAACCGCGTGGGAGTCTTCAGCTTTGTCAACCTCGCCCTCGCCGTGCTCTTCTCCAGCCGCAACAATGTGCTGCTGTTCGTTACGAATTGGTCTCACTCCACCTTCCTCCTCGTCCACCGCTGGATCTCCGTCATCTGCATGTTGCAGGCCTGCTTGCACTCGGCCATCTATCTACAGTACTACCTCGACCCCCTGGCCGGCGAGGGCGCCCACGCAGAGCAGAGCAAGCTGGACTACTGGATCTGGGGCATTGTAGGCACGCTGGCCCTGGCGCTGCTCATGCCGCTGTCTGTCCTCCCGCTGCGCAGGAAGCTGTACGAGGTCTTCCTCGCCACCCACGTGGTCCTCGCCGTCCTGGCCATGATCGGCTGCATGCTGCACATCTACTACCGGTACGAGTGGCAATGGGGGTACCAGACTTGGGTTTGGATTAGCTTTGCCTTTTGGCTGTTTGACCGTTTCTTGGCTCGGCCTCTAAGGCTGGCGCGGAACGGCGTCAAACGAGCTTTTGTCACTGTCATTGACGAGGATTACCTACAAGTGGATATCCCCGGGGTCGAAGGCGAGGGCCATGCGTACCTGTACTTCCCAACACTGACATGGCGGGTCTGGGAAAACCACCCCTTTTCCGTGGCCGCCGTGTGTGCCGCATCTCCAGCCCCCTCCCAGGAACCCACCACCGCCATCAGCAGCACCAGCAGCATTCATAGCAGCAGTCCAACAACTCCCCAATCCGACTCCAAAATACTCACCACATCCCTCCCTCCCCCAGCAACAACAACAACAGCAGCAGCAGCAACACCACCCCCCCACAACCACACGTACAACAACCCCCCCGGCCTAACGCTCTTCATCCGCCGGCACCACGGCCTCACCCACCACCTCCTCCACCACACCCCCAACCTACCCCCCCCAAACCACACCGGAATCACCACCCTCCCTCGAAACCTCCTACGCCTCCCACCCCACAGCCCCAACCACCTCCCTCACCCACCCCAACCTCCTCTGCATCGCCGGCGGCGTGGGTGTCACAGGGGTGCTACGTTTCCTGCCGACCAGTCCTACTTCTTCTAAGGGGGGTGATAGCAGGCCCAGGGCCGGGGGGAAGGTGAAGCTGTTTTGGGGGATGCGGGCCGAGAGCGGGGCGTTGGTGCGTGCGGTTAGGGGGGTGGTTGGTGCTGGTGTGGGGGGTGTTGCTGCTGCTGTTGCTGTTGGGGTGGGTGGTGGTGGTGGTGGTAAGGGGGGTGGGTTTGACGGAAAGGGGGATGGGTTTGATGCCGGGCGGGGTGAGAAGGGGGGAGGGGTGGGGAGCGTCGAAATGGCAGCGACGACGGCAACGACGACGACGGAGATGTGGGGCGGTGCTGAGGTGACTATCTCGGCGGGGAGGCGGTTCGATATCGGTGCGTTGCTGGAGCGGGAACTGCTGCCGTCGGGTGAGGGCCGTGGTGTGGCGGTGGCGGCGGGGATGGGTACGACGGTGGTGGTGTGCGGGCCCGCGGCTATGGCTGACGAGGTTAGGGTTGCGGTGGCGAGGTTGGGGCGGCGCGGGGTGGTGGTGCGGTTGATTGAGGAGAGTTTCACTTGGTAGGACCTCGCGGGCATGGGGAGGAGTGGAGAGGATGTGTCGCTCATAGTCGCGGCATGTGTATACAGAGGTTTGTTGGAGATACTTGGCTGTTTGTTAGTTGTTAATCAAGTTTTGATACCTTTTACTCCGAGTCGGTCGTTTATAGATAAAGGTTTATACTATGAGGCAGTTGAGAAGTTGAATAAGTTTTTATAGATCTTACATCTGAACTCCAACAGACCGAGACATGGAATAATGGAAACCTATGTGCTCTGGCTGGAGGTCTTTTCTACATTTCCCTACCAGATCGACTCCCGAAAGGGAGATGCTTTTGTCGCGAACTAGAGCTAGGAGCCTCCGTTGCATGCCTTATTATGACTCGCGACCGTGGGTACATGTCATTAGACATTATAGGCTAAATAACTACTTATCTATGGGCCGTGTCTCCTCTAGACCAGGACCATGATTATGTATGTCGTATTATCACCAGTATATGCCCTCCCAAGTCGCCACCTTAGCACATATCCCAACTCCCTCATGCTCCCATAACCCAACAATCATCAAATCAAGCCGGTAACACAGCCCGCTGCGGCTGCGTCGGAAGAACCGTTTCCACCTGACTACCACTTGGAACGCGTGCTTTGCATAACGGGCAGGTATCGCGCCTAGTTTGGAACCAGTTCCTGATACATACGGCGTGAAACACATGGTAGCACGGCAACGAGGAAACCAGGCTCTCGTCCTCGAAGCCGTCCAGGCAGATGAAGCTACGACGAGTTCAAGAAGGTATTAGCGATGTCATCAGCCTGGTATATATTTGGGAAGAACAGGAGATAGGTCGGCGTTGAGGGTCACATGCCATGCGTCTGCTAGCCTCCTTGCACTGCCAACATCGGCTCGCAGATGGCTGTACGTCTGAGATGGTACGGTCGGGGGGTTGATGTTGGCCCTGGCAGCCTTCATCCTCCGCGAGGTATAGCTTTCGAATAGGATTGAGTGTTAAAAATCGACCAGACCAGACTTGATAGCTTCATTCAACGACCTACGTTCTGACGGCGATCAGGACGATTGCGGTTATCAGGAGACCCCCGGTGACCCAGACCACAACGGAGCCTCGAATGTCATATTGGCCGGATTGGGGTTGCTCCATAGCGAGGCCGTAGTTGTTATACTATAGTTATAGGGTACTATAGCTGTGGTAGCAATATCCAAAGTAGCAACTTTTAAGGTGGTAGTAGTGGTTGAGGTGGTGGTAGGAGGCGAGCAAGAATGTTTCGGATTTTGGCATTCGAGATCCCCCAGACAGTGGCCGAGATTAGGAGCGTGGCTGTGATGGAAGAAAATAATGGGCTGCTACTCGACTGTTAAGCGGACTGTTGCCAGTAATGATACGCTTCGGAACCTAGCAACAGAGGGGAGTGCGCTGAAAAAACGATGCCGTCAGGCGGACGCGGGGAAGGCTCACCACTCGCCAGCGTCAACGTCACCATACCATGTACTAGTGTTGTGAGCAAGGGCCATTACCGTCTTGCCCCGCTCGTCGTCCGATATATATTCATGTTAGTGCGTAGTTGACTCGGCAATCTAGCCGTCGCTGAGTCGCGCAAACTGTCATTTGACCCTCCAGCCAGCAGCCAAGAGAGCGTCGTGCTCAACACGATCCAGCTTTTCTGTCAACTGCTCACGGAGACACCCACCCATCTATCCATCGTCGGCCTGCGGGATCGTACACCCAAGCCCAGCAGACCGCCGCTGATGATCCTGACCATGTGGAAGATGACGCACACCGAATGCCTGATGCTGCACTGGGAAATAAAAAGCACCCTGCTTGGGGCTGTATCTTTTCTGCCTCTTCTCAGAGAGAGGGAGATAGACTCCAAAATGGGCCTGTCTGCATCTGTCTGTCTGTCTGTCTGTTGTCGTCCAGCCCCTGAAGCATCCATCAGAACAGAGCGTGGGGGGAGGCGAACTCTTCGAAATGCCGGGTGGTGAGAAAGAAAACGAGCATCTGGCTAGGAACCGTTGTGCCTGGCGCAATTCATCTTCCACACACCTCATATCCCACATCAACCTGACAAGCAATCAAAAGCCGGGGGTAAAAAACCCATCAAAAAAACCCGCTCACTCCGGGCACCCAACCGCAGCCTCGAAAGAAAACTCCCAACCCCAAGCCCGACCAAAGCCAAACCTAACGATAACTAAAAAACTGTGCCTGCCGTAGCAAAAGAAACCCGCCATTTCGCTACCCCATTCCCCATCCCCCGTTCCCAGACCGCCTTTACGTCATTCCCGACCAGGCCTCCGTCAACGCCGACCGCATCCCAATTCGAATTAAAAACGATATCGCCGCCCATCCTTTTGGAAAGAGAGAAGAGATGAGAAAAGGAAGGCAGTGTTGGTCACCGTGTCCCATGCCGTAGCCAGCTGGGGTTATGAGAAAGGTCAAGGCAGGAGGAACCCGCGTGCTTTGATAGCGTTGGCCGTCCCTTTATATATATACTTTGTCGAACATGCGCCATTCATGTCGACGTCTTTTTTGTCGTCTCAACGGTCGTCGCCGCCGGTTCGGAAGGCTTTTCGGATGTTGGCGAGCTAGTCAATGCGCCACCATCCGTGCTCGTGGCGGACTTGGGCTCGTCCGCATTCGACAGGGGTTTCAATAATGTTGTTCCTATCGACGGCCGAGCGCCGGCAGCTCTGCTCATCCTGCTCTTGTAGTCGTTGAATGTGAGCTTCTTCTTGACAGGACTTGGGGTTGCCGTAGCACTATTGATCGGCAGTGGAGGAAACGGACTCGTGAGGCCCGTAGCGGAGAACGGCGACTGGGCCGCTCGGGGTCCAGCGGAGACGGGTGTTGAGGATGGGGAAGCAGCCGAAGCGGGACTTTGAAAAGCCGGCACAGGAGGCGGTTCTACTCGGGGGTCAGGCGACTTGTTGTTGACAGGGCTGTTTGTCGGGGGCTGCGCCGCGGCGATCGTGTGCAACGGGGACGACGGCCGAGCATCAGGCATTGGGTGGTCTTTTAGTCCGCCTGTCGGAACATCGCCGCCTGGCCCCTTTTCCGCTTCTTTGGCCGAAGCCGGCGATGATAGGAGGGTATCCCGGTCGCCATGGCTCTCTACGCTCATGGCAGATGGCGGCCGCTCCATGGCGCGGCGTTTGGCGCGCTCTTCCTCCTCAAGGCGGACATGGCGCCAGTTCTCTAACATCCGTTTCCTTAAACAAGAGCCCACCCGCCGTTTCGGAGTCGCCGTGTCGCTGGCCTCGGGGAAGTCTGTTTGTACTGCAGCATCACAATATTGTGGACGTGGCACAGCCGAACTGGGACGAGAGCGAACAGGCGCCGATGCGTTCCCAGATGGTAGGCTGTTGCCGGGATGGCCAACGTGGGTGGGGCTAACGCCGCTGGGTGAACCAGACTTGCTCCTCGACGTCCCGGTCCCGGCATCAACATAGCCGCGTTCCGGGAACCCGGAAGGGAGGTTGGGCGTGTGGGTTGCGGATCTGGGCTTCGATGTCTTTGTATGAGAGGAGCTAGTCCCATCGGAGACCCGCTTCCTCTTGCGAGGTGGCTGTTGTTGCTGCTGCTGCTGCTGCTGCTCCATCCTGCGGAACGAGTCTTCAACCATTGCCACTTTCCGCTTATCGCGGTCCGTAGGTTCTGTCAGTATACCCAGCGTGTCGAATGAGCCCTGGCGCGCCGACGGAGTCATGTCTCGACTTGGCGGCTTGCTCCGCGAACTGGACACGGACCTCCGGCCATTCTCGGCAATGTCTTCAAGATGGCCTTCGCTGGCCGCCCGGCTGTTGGTGGCATGACCCGTACTTGTGGGGGAGATGGCGTGCTGTGCTTTGGGTTTGCGCTTCTTGGCTCTCGGTGGGTTTGGACGCGACTGGGCAGTGGCGAGGTAGTTCCTGTGGAAACGCGCAAACGCACATTCCGCACCAAGATTGCAAGCGCAACCCCCGTGTTCAGAAAGAATGAGGTGAACCCAGCCGGCGTATTTCTGATAGTCGGCTTCGGTGACAACCTGTTCGGCATGAACCCCTGTCACGTCGTCGCCGAGCCCGAGCATCTGGAGGACGCGGGCTTTCTCTGCTGCCGGGAACCCGGGATTCCAGGGGATTGTGACCTGTTCTTTCGCCTCAATCTGCCGGTCGCTCACCAGCCAAAAACGATATTCGCTCCCGGCCGAAAGGTATGTCTCGATGACCGCGTTCGGCCTGCAGCTCCGTCGAACGAACCGAGCCTCAGATCCCTCCCTCCTAGTGTCGATGTAGAGCGGGAGCGACGGGTGGAACAAGACGAATGGGAGCGGCACGGTCAACTCGGCCCAGCGATTCTCGGGGTCGGCGCAGTAATCTTTTTGAAAGCCAATTTGACCATTGACTTCCATGAGCGGGACATCCTTATCAATTGTCGAAGGTGCTTTGAGACACGGCCACTGGACGACGGTATTGGGGGTAATGGATTTCTTGTTCCGCTCAATGTCGGGTATGACCTTTATTGAGTCCATATTGGAGGGGAGTGTTTGAAAGACATCATTGTAGGAACAGCCTGTCTCGAACTTCATCTTTTCCTGGTCGCGCAGCCAGGCCGACATGGTATTCGATATTTCCAAACCGGCGAAGGAGTTGGTGTTAACGATTTGGAAAGCCTGGTCGTTGTACAGCGACAAGAATCCGGACGAGTAGTTGTGGAGTTCGAAATCGTCTGGAAGATCGGGTGGAGTTGTCGCGGGGCTCAAGGGATGGTTCTGGGTCGGTTTCGCGTTCCCGTGAGAGGGGCTGCGCTTCGGTGCCTGGGAGCTGACGGACTGGCTCGACTTGTGCGAGCTCTTGGTCTTCTTCGCGAGATGAGGGTTGTCCTGGGGACTGGTATGCTTCGTGCTGTCGAGCGCCCCATTGTGTGTGCCATTGATCTGGAGCTCTGTGGGTTTCGGCTTCTTCTTGTGGCTCTTCGACGGCGGCCGTTTTGGTTTTTTGTCAGCCGCCGCTTCTACGACCGGTACAGCGGTCCTCGCCCTTTGGCGGTCGATCGCCTGTTGACGATCCAGGGTCCGGGGTTCGCACTCGACGCAGGAATGTGCAAAGTTCGGACTAAGGGCATCATCGATATTGTTGGGGTAGTAGCACTCGATGTGCTGCCATGTATCGCACGTCTCGCAGTAGATCGTATTTCCGTCATCGTCAGCAAAGTCGCAGATACACTTGATGGTGTACGGCTCCTCCTCTACTGTCTCTTGCTTCCGAGGGGCGTCTCGACTCGGGACGGCACTCGGAAGGGAGAAGGTGGGCTGACTCGGAAGCGCGATCGGCGTCGACAGCGGTGGTAACTTGTCTGTCATACTCTTGAAAAAGCCTCGCGACGGCCAAACGTCGGAGGGATTGTGCGAATGGTTTATCTCTCCGGTTGGAAGGGCATGCTTGTCGCGCGTCTCGACGCGATTGAGATCGAACGGTGTGCGTTGGGGGGACCGGCAGAGACAGCAGGAGTGTCATCCGCGGGTCGGTCAGATTGTGCTACTTGCGTCGGCGCACCCGGCCGCAGCAATGCTGCTCGTGTCGGCGGGTTCGTCGGCTCGGTCGGCGTGTGACGGTTACGTTGTTGTGCGGTGTCGCGATGAAGATGGAGCCAGCGAAAGAGCGATGACGGGTCGTCTTGATTCTTAAGCAATCTTTCCCAGGCTGTCAGGTGTCGAGTGCAAGTGAGAAAGTAGAAAGTGGTGTTGTCTTGTGGTCGAGTGTGGCGACCGTGGCGGCAGTCTCGAGACGGGAGGTACACAATGGACGGGACGGGGAGAGGTGATGCGCCTCGAGGACAAAGGAACTCGAATCGAGGAAATCGAGTCGCCGAGTGCAGGATTGCAATCCGGTCTTGGACTCCGGAAATGTCGACCGTCGAGGGACGAATTGGGTGACGCGAAAAATTGGGGATTGGATAAAGAAAGGCAAGAGTTTGAAGGAGAGGGAGGGCCAGAGTGGAAAGTGCCAAAGAGAGAGGGGGGCCCACATGGGTAGACTAGACGGGGTGCAGCGCAACGCATTGGCAGCATTCTCAGTGCAGCCCCCCCCCCCCCCCCATGCGATAACTAGAGTGTGAGAGCGGAAGGGCGGGCTGCTGCGACTTGGGGGATTGCCCGCCCAGGATCGTGCTGCTCTGAGGGAAACGGGGAATGTGCAAGCACCGGCCAATCAGAAACAGCTTTGTACTGCAAAACATGGTGGCTCTCGGTCTTGGGAGGGAAGGGAACCAGAAGGCGGGTGGGCTCACTTTTGCGCCGCGGCTTCCTTCAGTTCCAGCGAGCCTACACTGGTAGCGCAAGCGCCAGGGAAAGAAAATTGATGAGCATCCGGGAACTGCTCGCTGGGGCGTGGCGGGCGGCCTTGGGAAAGTCGTACCCAGGCCGCCCAGGGTGTTCCACTGTGGAGGCAGGTTGGATGCAGTGCAGCCTGAGGCACTAGGCTCAGAACGGAGCAGGGAGCAAGGGCGGTGGGTAACTGTGGTCGCGAAGCTCATCCTTGATTGGTCGATGGCGGGTGAGATTGTACGGAGGTTGGTTGGGGCGCGCCGCGCAGTCTGCCCGGATTTACTTGGTAAAACCAAAACGAAGCGGAGCAACGGGTAGCCGAGCGAGGTTGAAGAGAGGAGAGCCCGCGGATTGACTGTCACCAGTCGCTGTCTTGCACGCCCGGATACGATATCGTCAACGGCAAGATAGAAGAACTGCAAACCAGGAAATCGTCGGAATACTTTCGACCCAAACCGGGAACAGGAAAGTGGGTCGAATCACAGATTTGATGGGAAATATCATTTCTGTGCTAACGGGTGAAAGAAAAAGGCAGGGCGAAGCAAAACTGTTCGAGCGAGAATATTGGTGGGATGATTGGGTAGAGAAAGCCAGCGAGAATAGAAACTGTGAAAAGAGAGATTTGGTACTATGTATTCTTTGAACCGAGGTGGATGGCTGCGGCTTCTTCGGCGGCCCGCAGCGAGCAGAAGAAAAACCCAGAAGGCGGAGGCAGGAAGGCGGGGGCTCTGCGGATGCACAGTGTCAGTATCAACTGTTACTGGTCGGCGACTGGGCAGCGACTCGCTGAAACTCGCGTCTGACTGCGTTGGATCGTTGGATCGATGGAAGTCATTGAAAACCGAATCCTGGTTCCGGATCTGTCCCGACAACGGGACGACGAAGGGACATGGAGGACCTCGATCTCTTGGGTACCTGAGGTGAAAGAGTCAGCATTCAACTGCGAGTAGCCGCGTCAGAGAGGTGGTGTTTATTGGTTTCTCGATCGGCTGTCCTAATAACTCGACAATGGAGGTTTGACGTCACTTCACTGAGCTCTGGCCGCGACTCGGCTTGTGCTGAAGTCACCCCAACGCTTCACACTTCGCTCTCGGCTTCATTGGCGCTGCAGGCCCAGTGGGCGCAAATATCCGCTGCTGTATGAAAGTCACATTCTGAAAGCGATGCCCGCGTCGGAGCCCAGCGGCTCGTCTTCTGAGTCTCTCGGGGAAAAACATCAGGAGAATGACTGCCATATTTTAGTTACTTGTCATCGCTGGATTGTTACTTCGGGAAGCAGAATAAACAAATCCCAGACCCGGAGCTGCGTGGTGTTGAGGCACCTGAGGGAGGTAACTGAGACCCTTGTTTCGGCTGTGGCCTCAGCAGTCATGGTTGGCTGAGTCTTGACAAACAGGCCCACTTCGGCTCACATGATAAGTCGGATCAAGTCAAGCGCAGCCGGCTCCAGCAAATCAGGGCCAGCCTGCCTCGCCATGACGTGCGGTTGGGAGCTGCCGGCCAATGTCAGTGCTTGGAGGCCAACCAGTCAGCGCTGCCGCCTTGTGCCGCCTCGTGCTTCGATCCGCTGTCGGTGTTTCGCCATCGTCGTCGTCGGCCATCATCAACAGCTCTTTAAATTCGTCGAACATTGAACCCGCTTCTTTTCACCAGACAATAACAAGCCTGCTTTCTTGTCCTTGTTCTAGCGAGAGGAGCGCATCCTTCACGATCCCCCCGCAAACCCACCAATAAGCCGTCAACATGAGGTTCTCCCCAATTATCCTTGCTCTCGCGGTGAGCGCCGCCGCCCGCAACGTCTTCCGCACCGGAGGCCAGAGCCTCGTTAAGCGCGACGGCGATGACCTCAGGGTTCCCGGCGAAAGCCCGCTCGAATTCTGCGATGCGGACCGCGATCATGATCTTCTTACGATTGACAAGGTTGACTTGTCACCGAACCCACCTCTACCGTAGGTCACTTCGAGATGGTTTAGTGTTGTTCAGCTGGCCTGCGGCTAACTAAGGCTTGTTTCTTCTTCTTTCGCAGCGGCAAGAGCCTCATCATCACCGCCAGCGGCACGGCGCAGAAAACGATCGAAACTTGGCGCCTATGTGCTCATCGTGGTCAAATATGGCTACATTCAACTGCTCAAGACGACAGCCGACCTATGCGAACAGCTAGGGAACGTGGATCTCGAGTGCCCCATCAAGCCAGGCAAACTCAAAATCACCAAGGCGGTCGACATGCCCAAGGCGATCCCTCCGGTACAAATCCCTATCCTATGGCATTGAGCGGTGTGGCGAACAAGGTCACTGACAACAAGTACAGGGCACGTATACCGTCCGGGCCGATGTCTACACTGCCGATGACGAGCACATCACCTGCTTGACTGCCACCGTGAACTTCACGGCCGGGTTGTTGGATGGGATGGTTGACCTCTAAATCATTGCATGAGCCGTTCTACCAACCTGGGAATTGTGATAGGATTTGGCGATGAAGACTGTACTTGACATGCGTACATATGGTGATGATGATCGCGACGGGTTTGAGTGTTTGTTTGTGTTTGTCAACCAGGAGTCTTGTTGGTTTATTCTGTTCTGCATCTTTCTCATAGCATACTGAAGGCATGCGGAGTCCCGAGGCTGGCGATAATTGAAGACGATATGGACATTGCATCGGTCTATCATTCCGTACCACACGTATAACTGGCCAACCCTCCAATTTCTAAATTCCCTGCTCTATTCCCACAAGCTCCTCACTCGCCAAACAACCGGCGGACTCTCCGCAAGACGCTATCCTTCTCCGGGTCGTAGGGGTGGTCTTTGCTTGGGATCTCGAGAATGGTGGGGAATGCTTGAGTGTAGGTATCGACCCGGTTCCGTATCCTATCGGCAATCTGTAGCGTACTTCTTTAGCAAACTGTCTAACCAGTCGCTCGGCACAGGTCGCGGGCACAGGCATGACTGACATGTTGGTTGATCAAAACTATCCCAATGTCCTTCCTCTCCGTTGTAAACCGCTCGAAGGCCGCCTCGATGGAAGCGGTGTCTGTCTTTGCGTCTACTACGAGGAAGTTCTTTTGGTTGTCTGGCGGTGCGGTAACATGCTATCGAGCAGGGTGTCAGTCGGGTGCGAGCGAACGGAAGAGGAGGTAGCTTAATAGGTAGTAGGTATAGGTGGGCGGGTAGGTAGTTAAACGTACGCCAATGCCAGCTAGAAGCAGTCCGGTCACAGAGTCCTATTATCCGACGCAACGGTTAGCAAATTCCCCCAAGCGCTGGCCGTGTCGCATAAGTTAAGTTGCTTGCCTCGTCTCCGATCACAGCTAGGAACTGCCTGTCGCGGTAGTCTGCTTGCGATGCCATCTCGGCTGCGACAAAGTGAAGCGATTGGCTGTTCAGAAACAAGGAGTGACTCGAGAGTCTTGAATCGACGTGGTGACTCCCGAGTAGTTCGTCGTTATTCCGTCGTAAAAAATGGTGGTGGAGGTTTTCCTTGTGTAGTGCAGCATTCTACTGGGTAGGGAGGTTCGCAAGTTAGGTCCTCTGTCCCGTGCTGAGCCGTTGAGGTGACGCCGCTCGGGGCTGGGACCAACAGTCGGCCGGGGCCCCACTGTGACCCCGCTGCCTGCTTGCCGCTACCGACCCTTGCTCCAACCCTGTTCCGGCACCAATGGACTTCCGTTTTCAGCCCAGTGGAGCTGTTGCTAGGCCTGAATTCTTTCATGTCGTAAACAATCCCCTGGGTTTTACACTTTCAAGCGACTCTCATCGACAACCTAACGTGTTATCGCCTACTTGCGCTGCCACAGATGACTCTCCTGCTCCAACGCCGTGGTTGAGTCGATCAACAAACGACTCTTTGATTCGGTCCTCGACCACCGAAGGCTTCTTTCGAAACAAGCGAAAAGTCTAGGCCAAACCAAACAAAGACATCGCACAGCGCATCACCAAGTTTAAGGAGAGCATATTGCGCGACAGCTATGGCTCCTCGGCCGCAGCGTCTCGTGAGGCGCCAGCCGCTCATGGAGAGGCTTCGCGCCATGCTCAATCCCATGGATTTCTATCTCTGGCTGTCTGAGGAAATACAAACCTTTAACTGGGATTCCAAAACATTCGGCACCCGGTTCGGGCTTGTAGCCAATTTCATCTTTCTAGTCGCCAGGGCGAACGCCGGTACGACACGCGAGGCCGTTGATGACGTGTTCGGCGACGCGCCCGCTAACGGCTGGTTCACCCTCATGGTAGGTCCACGCGACGCTCGGTGCGCATTGCTCGAGGATATCCACTAACGCGCGCGATTCCGGAAGGCCAATTTCCTCCAATGGGCATTAATTTCCATATCCGCCCTGAATGCCTTTTATACGATGACGCGATCCCGCCACTACCGGCTTTTTGAGAGGAATGTCGAACAAGCAGGGCCGGGCACGCCTTCAGCGCAACGCGTCCGCGTCGATTCGTCGCCTGCCTCGTCGACCCCATTGCGGCTCCTCCAGGGGGTCTTAAGTCCCGAAACTGCCGAGGAACGAGCGCATCCGGACAAGACTCGCGACGTGTGGGAGTTGAAGGTGTGGGATCCGTACCCGGCGACGCTGCGAATGTTCTGCCTCTTCAGCCCGGGACACGTCCTCATCCACATGCTCTTCCTCCCGCTACCGATGCTCGATCCACGGCCTAGCGTTACGGTCTTCAAATGCTTCTTTTTGCAGGTCATCCTCTCGGCGCAACTGCTGCTCATGCACTCCCGCTTCTCCCAACAGAGCACGGACACGGCCGTCATCCAGAAGGAGGTGATGCACGAATACGACGTCAAATACGTTCACCCGCGGCTCCACCCCACGGTCCGCGAAGCCTCGACGCAGGTGTCGATCAACGACGGGAAGATTGAAGAGGAGGAAATCACCATCGGCACCCCCACAACCATGATTCAGCGATCGTTCCGGACGCACCCAAACCCGAACTACAGCAGATACGTCGACCCTGATGCTGGGAAAGCTCCCTCCGCGAGGGCCGCCATGTCCCCGCAGCTGAAGCCCATGATGCCAGCCAACCCATTCACGCCCTCGGCCAAACCCAGGGCCTCCGTGCCCCCGTCCTTTGCCGCTCAGGTACAGCAGCAACGACACTCGGCCGTGCGGAGGAGCCTCCCGCCCACCACTTTCACCGGCACAGAAAGCGCGCCACCCTCCACCCCATCCGCCGCCTCCAAAACCACCACCACCACCTCGACGGGCACCAGCACCGGCATCGGCACCGACACCGGCGCAAACTACAATTTGCCGCCCAACTCGGGCTACGGCGGCAGCCTCGGCGTGTACACGCACATGAACTCGCCCCTCAAAAAGGCCACCAGCCTCAGCGACATCGGCGCCGGCGCGGGCTTCAACTCGCCGCGCAACAACCGCGAGATGGCCGCGCTCGAGCAGCGCGACCTGGCCGACCGCATGATCCGCCAGAGCAGCCCGTTCAAGGAGCACAGGCGCCCGGCGGGGGAGCAGGCGCAAGGGTTGGGGCAAGGGCAAAAGTTGGATTTTGGTGGCCAGGTTAGCAGTAGTGGGAGTAGCTTGGCGCATTCGCCTGAGAAATTGGCGAGGGCGAGGGCGGGAAGGTGGACGCAGGAGAGGTTCCCTTCGAGGAGGCTTTGATGGGGGTATGGGAGGAGATAATGGGCGAGGGAGGGAGGAAGGGATTGGATGGCAGTCTGTATCATACCTACATCACAAGAGAGGAGGGTGCTGGGTGGCCGGCAACGGCCTTTGGGGGCTGCATACCATTTTTCTTGCGCTAAGGCATTTTTGGGTTTTTTTGGCGTTTGAGGGACGGGCGGGGAATATATGCTTGATTCTGCTTTTGAGAACATCATAATTTGTTGAATTACAAGAAGGGGAGTGTGTGGATTGGTATCTGAGGAGGTGTTCCCCATTTTGGCCTACCATTTATTCCCTCTCGAAATTTCCGGCCTGTGCTCTCCTCCGAAAGATAGGTGCTGAGGAACCCGAGTCAATTGGTGGGATACGAACCCCAAAGAGACAAAAGCTTTCGAGATATACAAAAAGTCAGGCAAAAATGAGCCCACCAAGGAACCAGCAACAAAAGGATGCGTCAGCCGCGAATCGAACGCGGGGCCCATCGATGGCAACGATGGATTTTACCACTAAACCACTGACGCGGTTGTCTTGGGTCACCATCCAAGCGGGACTCGGAGGGTGCCAAGGACGTCGTGTGGGAATTTGCGTGGCTGCTGGACATTATCAATGGATGGAGTGGATGCTACGGGCTGGGTGGGGATGTTGTGGAGTCGTAGGTCGAAGGGGGAGGGTGACACCGGGCTTGGGTATCGATGCAGGTATGCAGGTATGCAGGTATGGTGAGTGATGATGAAAGGGGCAGTTGCAGGTGGTTGATGCTCTGTCCGTCTATGAGTGTCGTTCGGCGGGGTTCGAAGTTCGGGATGGCTATGGTTGAGAAGTCTGAGGGCGTTTGAGGGTGGGTTATTGGACGAGCAACTCCTTCCTCATGGAATTTCTGCAACGGCGACTTCTGAGGTAGTCAAGCTCCTGGTCAGGTTTAGCTTCACGGTGTAAAGGGCGCGGCAATGCCTCATTGAGTTCCTTCCAAGGGGTGGGATGGGTGCCGTTCGCCTGTCGAGCAGGTGCTGGGGAACACCCGCTCCTACTCACCTCCCCAGACAGCAATTTCTTGCTCGAGAGGTTGTTGGCTTCTCCGCGTTCAACAACACACTTGTATTTCTCGAATCCTCCTAAAAAATACCAAAGTAGCTGAGCAAGGGGCAACATGGCGTCACTCCCCGTGAGGAGCGCTCGTCTAGAAGCTAACCCCGTGTCACCACGGCGACAGCACCGGATTCCAGGGGACACCAGGAACCCGCCGGCGCGCCGAGTAGACAAAGTTCCCTTGCTCTTCGATACCGCCAAGCAGAAGAACCTTTCGAAATCCGTGACAGAGTTCTTCTCCAAGCTCAGACCCAGCAAGCGCCCCGAGCGTGGTAACACCATCCGACCTCCACCAGACAGTTACGAGGAGCGTCAGTCGGCAGAGCCCAGATCGCCCAAGCCGACCGCAAGCTGCCGAGCAGAACGGTCAAGCTCCCTTGGCCGCTACGGCCCGGACACAATCCCGGCGAGCCGCTGGAACACGCCCGTCACACCACCGCGGAGAGCGCAGAGTGTTGGGGCGAGGGGGAGGGGGAGGAGGCCGATGACCACGCAACCCCCCCCTCCAGACCAACACCAACCGGCATCACAACCCGATACCAATATCAACCCCCAACAAGGAACGTTTCCAAATCCCCCCCTCCGCCGTATCCCCTCCCCAGCCCGCCAACAACCCAAACCCACCCGAATCCAAACCCCAACCCCAACCCAACCCTCTCTCGCCCGCAAGCCCGGACCCCAATCCCGATACCAACCCCCACCCCCACCCTAGCCACCACCCTCACCCCCAGCACGCGCGACCTCTTCCTCGCCAAGCGGGCCCTGCGCCGACAGCGGCACACACTAATCTCTAGCGGCGACTTTCTCGGTGTGACGGGGGCGAACCCGTACACGGGCGAGCCCGACCTGATCACGCCCCCGACCAGCTCGGACGACGCGGTGGTGACGTCGTCGTCGTCGCCGACTACGGCTACGGCGACGGGGACAGGTACGGGTGCGGGTATGGGTGCGGATATGGTGGGTGGTGGGCCGGTGGGGGGCTCGGAGGAGGAGGAGGTGCTGTTGTTGCGGTCGGGGAGGGGGACGGAGAGGGAGAGGGAGAGGGAGAGGGAGAGGGAGAGGAAGAGGGAGAGGGAGAGGGAGAGGGAGAGGGAGAGGGAGAGGGATAGGGACATGGGAAGGAGAGGGGGTGGGGAGGCAGATGCTGAGAGAGGCGGAGGAGGTTGAGGCCGAGGCCGAGGCAGAGGGAAAGGGAGGCGGATGCGGGTGTTGTTGAGGGCCAGGGGGGAGGTGTGAAAGGGTGGGGCGGCCGAGGGTGACACGGGGGGTTGGAGGTTCGGTGGGGCCGAGCCGAACTTGGAGCCCCATCATGCAGTTGTCGCCGCAGGGGGGAGCGGGGAAGTCGTCGGTGCAGGGCCGAGGGAGCCGGTGTTCTACCGCCAGAGCAGCAGCAACTGCAGTCTTTTTTAGGCAGTGGCGGCAGTGGCGAGGGGGGTCGACGGCTGCCGGCCGCCGGAGCCGCTGTGGGAACCTGAAAAGGAGAAGCGCGGGTAGTACTTTTTGACGGGGTGGAAGCGGTCCCGAGGGGGGCGAATGGCTGCCTCCGCAATGGCCGTGGGAACCTGATGGGAAAAGGGCGGTGTAGTACTAAGAACGGGGTGGAAGCGTTCCGGGGCTTTGTTACTCCAACTGGCTCGGATGATGATGGGAAAAGGCCCTCGGTGTTTACTAAGAACAGTGATGTTACGGTTTTGACTCCCACCGCTGGTCTGTCTGCCGGGAAGGCCCTCGGTCTTTGGGCCACGACATAAATCACACGCATGGACATATCAGCCGGAATGGGAGTTGGGGAACCTCAGAGTCACCCCCATAGACCTACACAGGCTGGCGGACGATTGCAGAGGCAGACGGATACCCACCAGCCGGGTATTGGAGCTGGACGATCTGAGGGCGGCAGAGTCATGGGGAAGCAGCCAACTGTGCAATCTGGACAGCCTCCGCGACCCGACCGACATGATTCCGAAGGCGTGCTCGATGGGGGTAAGTCATGGCCTGGGCCAGGCGTTCCAATCTGTCTGCACACGCACCATCACCACTACTGGCTTCGGACACAGTCGGCCTCGGCACCGCGCCGTCGCCCATCTCTTCGACGGGACGCTCGGCGGATCACACGAAGCTCCTCGGAGTCGGAGAGTTCTGATGCCCAGAGCGCTCTCACAGTCAACATCACCCCCGTTGTCGACCGGGATGTCCGAGAACGTTTATTCAAACCGGCTGGCTTCCCCAGGCCAGATGCAACTGAGCGTTTGGTTCAATCCCAACAGCCCGGGTCCGCGGACGGCGACATCGACGTTGGACCAGAAGAAGGTAGGAATCGACCCGTTGAAGGGAAGCCCTATCCCCCATCCGCTTCGCAAACCAGGAGCAGACAGCGATACTACATCGCCGTCAACCGGCCAAGGGAGAACAGCCCCCGGCCCGGAGAAACACTCGGCAAAGCCCAACCCGATCGCAGCGGAAACCGAAAACCGCCCAGCACAGCGGGAGCAACCGGACTGGGAGATGCGCAAAACAATGCGCAGCCCCTCGGGCAACGGCAGTCCCCAAGACGAAACCGACACCCACAGGTCGTCACACACGTCCACACGCACGTCCACGTCCCCCACGTCCCCCACAACACCAGCCCAACCTCCGTCTCCCGGAACGGCCCGGGCACCATGGCTAAACCAAGCCGCAGCCGAGACCATCGCGCGTGGCGCAGCACGGACGGCGTTTGCACATCACCAGGGAGGCTCGGGATGGGCACAGCAGACACGGGTGCCGGTATCGGCGCCGGACCCCGGCCCCCAGCCGCCCCACCGGGCACGGGCACGGGTACAGGCGGCGGGAACGAGAGCCAAGCCCGCGGCCAAGCCCGGGGCGGGAGCGGAGACGGGGTCGGGGCAGGGGTCGGGGCAGGGGAAAGGAACGGGGAAGGGGAAGAGTGAGGGCCGGGGGGGCAATGAAAAGAATGGCAAGGAGATGGGGAAGGATAAGGACAAGGAGAAAGAGAAAGATAAGGAGAAGGACAAAGAGAAGGGAAAGGGGAAGGCAAATACAGCAGATCCGAACAAGATCGAGGCCAAGCGTTGGGCGCGGAGTGCCATGCTGATGTTGGTGAAAGTGGTGGGAGCGTATTGGCAAGTGGTGAGTCCCGTGTTTGACGGAGACTCTCAGCTCAGAAAACGAATTGATAAGGCCCAGGCGACTCGAGGCGACGCGGTGGTATGTGTGCTCGCTGTGGTGTTTTTGTTTCTGGCGGTGTCCGGCGGGGTATGGGCGATCAGGGGTATTGTTTGGTTTGTGAAGTTGCTAGGCAAGCTTGGAGAGGTGCTGGGAGTTGTGGCAGGGTTGCATGACTGAAGACTTTCCATTCGAATGTGCACTGGCCCGGGGAAAGGACATGCATGGTATGGCTTAGAAATGCCCGACAGGTTATTGTGTAAGAGAGTCAACGAAAGATAGCTTCCCCCCTAGTTACCTATCCATGTTGCCCAATGTCCAACCAAGTTTAGAAGGACCGTCTGCCGCAATGGCCCCCCCGGCTGACGAGCTCTGGGTGTCCTGCAGTCGGCCCGGGAAATGGTGATCTGAGCGGACGTGGTTGGATGCGGTTGATAAAGCTGCATAATATGGTTGCCTCTTTGGGAGCCCGGAGCCGTCTGAGACTAAGGTCTCCGTCGTTCCTCGGCACCGTGACCGCTTCACCATCCTGCAAGGTTCAATCCTCTTTCTCGTTGCTTCATGGTACGATAAGATCGGCAATGTGGGCCGAGCGGTGGATAGCTAGGCAGCGAAAGCCGGAGAGAATAACTCTACGGGAAGATAATGCCGGGGGGGTGGGACAGAAGGGGGAGAGGCCGGGCGAGACCTGCAGTTTTGCAGACACCGGGGACCATTAAGACCCGAGCCAACGATCGGTGTTTCTTCCGTGTCCCGGGGATGATCTCGATTGGGGAATTCTGGGCGGGCTGAGGCGGCTGGCCCTGCAGCTTGTCGAAAATGGCGGCCCATATCAGCAGGAGGTGGGGTCGGCCTGTCGCCCTGAGCAGGGAGAATCGGCCGGAGGCAGCGCCAGAGACAGGGCAACCCATCGCGTATGTACATGTACGACCAGGCATATGCCTCATGCATGTAGCCGTATGTACGATGTACAGATTACTGTCCTTGTTCAGACATGAAGGATGACTGCTCAGTCGCCGCTAGTTACTGTTTTGACTTCTGACCTGACCGAATCAAAGATGATGCCGTTACGTTTACGCGGATACGTCGACGAGCCAGAATGCTAAAATTTGTTTCAATGGATCAGTGATCGGCCGGGGCCTTTCCGGAGCATCGGCCTATCAATCAGCTTCAATAATTCGATCGTTGGGGGGAGGCTTGGGAGGTTGTTGGTAGCATCGTCTTGCAGGACGGGCATCGATCCCTCGATGATGGAAGGGATGGGGCCCAGATCGGGTGACAAGTCCGAGGTCTGCTCGGAACCATAGATTCCCAAGCAAACATACCATTAATTCCTGCAATCGGACAGTGATTCGGGACTTGGTTGAGTAGTGCACGTGTGTTGTCAAAATTGCTTTTCGGGTGCAAGCGGCGCTTTCTTTGTTCCAACTGCCCACAGCGGGGTCTCGCCTTGGCTTCGGCCCCGCAAAGCCCTGCCCTGCCGGCTCTGCACAACCAATGGGGGACCGTTCTTTAGCAATTGGAGTGGCCACCCCGCAGTCCGCGAACCGGAGCACAGTGCAGCTCTCCGAACATCGGCGGTCTCCAACATCGCCGAGTTGGGGAGTTGGAGCTCGCCGTCATCGCTGAGAGTTTTATAAGTGGAAGTGGCATACCGCATCATCTAAGTGCGAGTGGACTCGCTGCCTATTTTCCCGTATTTCAACCTCCGAGACCCCAAGTGTTCTTTGCCACAGCCTCAACTGCGTGGAAGAATTGTCTTAAAATAAATCAAAAAAAAGACATACATCGACCCTCCCTTCCCCAGGTCGTTAAAAGCTTTGTCTTACCTACTACTACCTACCCCCTTCCCGTTTTCCACTGCCGTGTGTTAAAATCCCCAAGTGGCCCTGTTCCGCAGCGAGGTGTTTGTGTTGCACAGCCAAAATGCCGGCCGCCGAGCGCACACCGCAGACGCTCTACGACAAGGTCTTCCAGGCCCACATTGTCGACGAGAGACTCGACGGCACTATCCTCCTCTATATCGACCGCCACTTGGTACACGAGGTCACATCACCAGTGGGTCTCCACCCTCCCCCATTTCAGTACCTATTCGAACTACTTCCCACTAACCTACCTACCTCCCCACAGCAAGCATTCGAGGGTCTCGAAGTCGCCGGCCGTAAGGTCAGGAGACCGGATTGCACCCTCGCCACAACCGACCATGTAAGCTAGCGTCATCGTCTATCTGGGTACTGAACCTCGATTGACCACCATCTAGAATGTCCCCACCACTTCCAGAAAAGCACTCAAAGATATTGCGAGCTTCATCCAAGAAGACGACTCACGGACACAATGTGTAACTCTGGAGGAGAACGTCAAGAAGTTCGGCATCACATACTTTGGCCTCAGTGACAAGAGGCAGGGCATTGTCCACGTCATCGGCCCCGAGCAGGGCTTCACCCTCCCCGGCACGACCGTGGTCTGCGGTGACAGCCACACGTCGACCCATGGCGCTTTCGGCTCCCTGGCCTTTGGCATCGGCACCAGCGAGGTGGAGCACGTTCTCGCGACACAATGTTTGATTACCAAGCGCAGCAAGAACATGAGGATACAAGTCGACGGCGAGCTGGCCCCCGGCGTCAGCTCCAAGGACGTGGTCCTCCACGCCATCGGCAAGATTGGCACCGCCGGCGGCAACGGCGCCGTCATCGAGTTCTGCGGCTCCGTCATCCGCTCCCTCAGCATGGAGGCCCGCATGTCCATCTGCAACATGTCCATCGAGGGTGGCGCGAGGGCCGGCATGGTTGCCCCCGACGAGGTGACCTTCGAGTACCTCAAGGGGAAGCCGCTGGCTCCCAAGTACGGCAGCGAGGAGTGGGAGAGGGCCATTTCTTACTGGAAGTCGCTGCGGTCCGACCCCGATGCCAAGTACGATATTGACGTCTTCATTGACGCCAAGGACATCATCCCCACCGTTACCTGGGGTACCAGCCCTGAGGACGTCGTCCCCATTACCGGCGTCGTCCCGGACCCGGAGACCTTTGCGACCGAGGCCAAGAAGGCCGGCGGCCGCCGGATGCTCGAGTACATGGGCCTAGTCCCCGGAACCCCGATGCAGGAGGTCGAAGTCGACAAGGTCTTTATTGGTTCTTGCACCAACTCGAGAATTGAGGATCTCCGCGCCGCGGCGCTTGTGGTCAAGGGCAAGAAGATTGCTTCCAACATCAAGCGCGCTTTGGTCGTACCCGGGTCCGGCCTAGTCAAGGACCAGGCCGAGGAGGAGGGGCTCGACAAGATTTTCGTCGATGCCGGGTTCGAGTGGCGGGAGGCCGGGTGCAGTATGTGCCTGGGAATGAACCCCGATATCCTGTCGCCCAAGGAGAGGTGCGCCAGCACCAGCAACCGGAACTTCGAGGGCCGGCAGGGTGCCCAGGGCCGGACTCACCTCATGTCTCCCGTCATGGCCGCCGCTGCCGCCATCGTCGGCAAACTCGCCGACGTCCGGAAGATCTCCCAGTTCAACGGCAGCCCGCACATCGAGGCCGCCGTCGCCCCAGAATCCACCACCTTCTCCGGCTCCTCCGCCTCCGGGAAGGCCCACCCCGACGAGCGCATCGAAACCGACGACACAGAAAAGGAGGCCCTGGCCGACCAGCCCCAAGACTCGTCCCCGCAAGTTAACACCACCGTCACCCACAACAGCGGCAGCCCCGCCGCCGCCGCCGGCCTCCCTAAATTCACCATCCTCAAGGGCATCGCGGCGCCGATGGAGAAGGCCAACATCGACACGGACGCCATCATCCCCAAGCAGTTCCTTAAGACCATCAAGCGCACGGGCCTCGGCACCGCCCTCTTCTACGAGATGCGCTTCCTCGAGCCGGGCGTCGAGAACCCCGACTTCGTCCTCAACCGCGAGCCCTACCGCGGCGCCAAGATCCTCGTCTGCACCGGCGCCAACTTTGGCTGCGGCTCGTCGCGCGAGCACGCGCCCTGGGCTCTCAACGACTTTGGCATCAAGAGCGTCATTGCCCCGTCGTTTGCCGACATCTTCTTCAACAACTCGTTCAAGAACGAGGATGCTGCCGATCCCGATCAAGAACAAAGGAGGACCTGGAGAAGGTCCACGCCGAGGCCGTGGCCGGGAGGGAGGTCGAGATCGACCTGCCAAACCAACTCATCAAGGACGCCGACGAGGAACACCCTGTGCTCGTTCGATGTGGAGGAGTTCAGGAAGCACTGCCTGGTGAACGGGCTCGACGACATTGGCCTGACCATGCAGATGGAGGACAAGATCGCCGAGTTTGAGAGCAAGATGACGCGCGAGACCCCGTGGCTGGACGGGTCGGGCTACCTGAAGCGCAAGGGCGCGGGGGGGAAGCTGGCCGTCAAGGCGGCGCCCGTGCCCAAGACGAACAGGGGGGATGTGAAGACGGAGCCGTTGGAGTGGTGAGCTTGCCGAAGGTGGGGTGGGAGGATGTGTTATGATACCTAGGATGATGACGTTCCGATTTTGCGTTGAGTTGGTTGCCGGGCTAGGCGGCGGGTTGGGTTAATGCTTGGTTCGATCTCTTGCCCATTGTGCAGAGAATGATGCATGGCGGAGGTTTATGGTCCAATATAAAAGTGCATTGCCGTTCTTAGGTTTCCTGGCCCCCGTGTAGAGTGCTGTGTCTGTTAATTCCACCAAAAGCTCACGCTGAAACTGACACTCAGCCCCCTCACGTAATGCCACCACCCGACGGGTATGTATAGCACGTCGCCCTCGCCGAGGATACAGTCGAGATACTCGACCTTTTTGAACTCCTCCTGCCACCCGAATTCGGACTCCTGCTCATCATTACCATCCTTTCCATGCCCTCCCTCATCATCTGAAGAAGAAACAGAGTCCCACCTCTTCCAAAACACCCACATCCACCCGGCTCGTATTCCCCATCTTCACGCCGGCAGAGTCATGGGGAAGCAGCCAACTGTGCAATCTGGACAGCCTCCGCGACCCGACCGACATGATTCCGAAGGCGTGCTCGATGGGGG